GTGATTGATTATCTTGCTTGTAATCTCGAAATCCAAGTGCACTCCTTATGTATTTAAATAAATCCATTTTTAATAATACGTGCGTGACAACAATAGGAATTAATTTCACGGACAATAGAATTTAAACTATAAATGTCAACTATTTTAGCTCAAGTGAATGTGCAACAACAAATCAGGAAGGACTGCCTAGCATTGACGCCAGTAACTGCGTTCCTTTTTTGCACAGTTTATGTATTTCCACTTTTATACCTGAGGATAACGAATGCTTCACAAGAATGAGAAACCTGTGTTGTAAAGTCAGAAAATAAATAAGGAATAGAATAGGAAATGAGGGGAGAAAAGCACAGCTACACAAATATAATGTCTACAAGAATTGTTAAATTAACTTGGTACAACGTCTTCACAACTGATAATCCACTGTGGACCGCAATACCAATAAATTTGTCGATCCCTGCTCAGAAGCACAGATAACATCGAAGACGTAGATGGAAAGATGAACAAATGGTAAAGTGTAAGCCAGTAAAGAAATACATATGTAATATTTGAAGACAATGGTTTTTAATTAATGTATCCCTCCGATTCTGAAAGTATTACACACGGCTTAAAGGAAATGGTACTGAGGTTTCATTTATAATCTGTGTAGTGTGTTCAACTGTGATTTTCGGAGTGGTAGGGGAATGGTATCATGGCGTATATTGGTGGTAGGAATTTGTTGATAATACATAAACAAATAGAGCTTTTAAAATTTATTCAGCCTGTTCCTACAGTTTATTCTAGGTTCTCATCCGGTGATACCTCACGACATTCTTTGCAACCTTTAGAGAAGGAAACCCATACTGGACAAGTACGTTTTATATATATATGTATATATTCCACAATTATAACCCTCCTCATTCACAGAAGTAGGACACGTTTACTGAGTGTAACAAGAAAAGACAAGTCTAAGTAATAAAACATAAGGATCTAATAGTTTTATTTTAAATCTTGTAATTCCTCCCCGGTAGTGAAACATTTTTGCTTATTCTAATCACGAAATTACAAATTTTCATTCTAGTGGAAGGGTGTACCAAGTACAAAAAGTAGCTCACTCTTAGCATGTATCATTTTTAATTTATGTAGTTCCTCCATGAATTAGGAGGATGGGGTAGGTATGTATCAGTACTTTAGAAGGATGGTAGAGAAAAGTGATAGGTTAGTTATTTTATGAAAAAGAAAGGTATTTTAGATTCAGTCATGTTTCACAGATTCTCTTATAAACGACATTGCTTTATAGAAATGGGACAAAAATGATTATCGTCTGGTACGCTTTGTTGAAAGACCGAAGCAAGTAAACACTAATTTTGCCATCAAGCTAATAGATGAAGTACCTCCAGCTCCTAGGACAGAAAGGGTAGTCTGGTGTGATGGAGGTGGTGGCCCAACCGGACATCCTAAAGTCTATATAAATCTGGTATGTTGTATATCTTCATTTGTGTAAATGTCAAACCCAAGTTGTAGTTCATGATAGTGGTTTAGTGTTACAGTGGGATAATTTTCTTTCAACATTGTTTTTTTGTATGGATAGAAATGTACTTGCTACATTCTGGATGTATGCCATGTCTCTGTCTTCATATAGGAAGAAAAGGGTTTTTTCCTGTGTGCTATCCATGAAGTAAGCCAGAGTTGTTCTGCTTATAAGAAATAGTTCTATTTAAGGGACTTACAATATAGGTATCCTTTTCATCTATAATGAATTCACTTACAAAGTTGAATGCAACTATCATTTCCCAACTTGAACTGATACAAGTTAATTTTACTCTTTCTGTGAAGCAGTACTTATATTTTGGGAAGTTTTGTATAAGCCAGAAACCTATAAAGGGTACGCCTTCTTCAGTTGTGGTAAGAGGACATACACATATTTCTTTATTGCTTAGAGTTTCTTATCAAGATTTTTTAAATTGGCAATATAGTATTGTGGATAGAAATGGAAAAATCTTCAGTAAAGTTATATAGGTTCTTCATAACATGGGCAATTTCTTGTTCCAAAAAGGGCACTGCCTCGTTAATGCTCAGCTGATGGCACAGTAATGTTTTTTTTCCCTTTATTTCAGAAACATTGATTTATGATTATGTTTGATGTGTGTGGACAGCTTAAATAGAACATGCCAAGATCTTCAAATTGGATCTTACTGTATAAATGCATGTCTTCAATATCTATACTAACGTTTTTGATGATATCACTTTATAATATTGTACATGAAGCTCATTTCATTTCAGGACAAACCAGGCAATCATGTGTGTGGCTATTGTGGACTACGTTTTGTAAAGGAAGATTTTCATTAAATTTGGAGCTTCAAGAGTAGATATTCTGCTCATAGCTTAATGTGTTGCTAATTACAAACAAGCTATATAAAGGTGCTGGTGAGGAGTTAGATATTTAAAAGTCATGTTGTATGTATGAGTACAGTGAATAATAAAATGCAAGTTTAGAACATTGTATTTCATTAGCTATAGTATGATGTAACATCAACTTAATGGGACTGCAGAGTTACTGTAACACTCATTTATGAAAACTACATTACACATGAAACAGTACTTCTGACACATAATAATTACAAAATAAAATTCACAGACACACTTTACTGTTACAAATAAATGATCATTCTTCGAACTCAGTACATGGCAAACGTAAAACAAATACACAGAACTCACTAAAATACACCTTGCTGAACCTTCAAAAGTGCTTGAAAATATGATTAGGAATCTGCCAGTATATTGTATATCACAGTCACTTGTTTTTCTGTTTACTGGGTGGATTTCGCCCGATTCCACCTCGGCTAAGGGGAGCTGGTCTTCCTCCACGGCCACCAAATGACCCTGTGACATTGCAAAATGTGTGTGTAATTGTGACGAGTAAAACTGTGAAGCCCATCTGCACTTATGAGATAGTAAATTTGAATTTATATTATACTTATCACTGATTAATGTTGAATAATATATTCCAATAGAATAATACTAAGCCAGGTTGCACTATCTTTACCTCGTCCTCCACCTCTTCCTCTTTGACCCTGTCCACCTCTACCCTTCATCTCTCCACGACCTCTACCCTTGACCATTGTTTCTTCTTTCACCATATCAATAACTTCATCAGGAATTCTGAGGTATTTTATTGTACTTCCCCTGATGTAACATTCTGGCATTCTCCAGAATTTATCTCCATCCTGTACAAAAGTAATATGAAATTTCACTTCATAATATATTACAAACAATGGTGGATTAAATATATTAAATAAATACTTACACGTGATGTACAGATTACTTCTCTCAGATTAATATTCATCCAATTATCGCAGCTTACTAAGTGTCCATTATAAGTTTCTCCATTCTTTAATTCCACCAACTGCAACAAAATATTAAACTGTACTTGTATTCTTATGTAGACTATACTACCATGTGTGTGACACTTTATTACTTACCATAGGATGGTTCTGAGCCGTCCGTAACAATGACAATGGTAACTGCAAAAACAAAAATAACAAAAAGGTTTTAAGACTAAGGTTAGGGTTCGTTCACTTCATTTAAGATATGTCTCATATAGAATATAGCTTTAATGTTAAATATCAGTAGTAATGTAACTTTCAACAACTTATGACCCTCACTAAATGTATTCTCACCATCTCCTTAAACTTTTCTTATTAAATTGAATGAGATTCCACACACATACAAATAAACGTGAAAATTGACAGTGTTTCGTTTCGAAATTCAAGTGCATTCACAAATTTTTTCTTTTTGGATTAAGAGTGGTTATTGCATCACCAAATTTTACAATCAGAAAAGTGACTTATTTCATACCATAAAGTTTCCAACGCAAAATATTGCGAAGTTCAACAATGGATATGACATTAAGCATTAGTGACTTATAATGGTAGTATTTGTTTTGTTTTGATCCGCAGACATCACTGTTACGCTAATGAAACCCAGCCCAATTATTATCCATCGCCTAGGAATATAAATAAAATTATACATAAAAAATATACTTCCAAGACATAAAATTTAATTTTATATTTTCCTATTGCATAACTGCCTTTACTTATTTATGTTTTTCTAGAACATAATATGTTCAAGTTATTCATTCAAATTTTTCTTCTCTTCGTGATCGCCATATTGTTTGGGCAGGGCTGGCAACTTATGACGGAACATATCTGCATTTGGTAAATAAATAGTTATTTTTGCTGTAGTTATTTTTGAGTTAAATACATGTTCATGTATTCAGTATGTTTTATGTTTAATTATGTAATTCTGTTTCACCGATTAACATAATTTTTGTAGATGGGTGAGTCTCGTCTTTGAAGCAGCTTGGGTAATCGTTACGGATAGAATTGAAATATTATAATGAAACACGTAACTGGCGCGTTGCAACATGCAATTTACCTCGCATATTATCGACCAAAATGAATTATCTCTTGCTTGCACGATATATTGTCCGCTATGAATACCTAGGTCTTCATGTTACTAGTTATTCTATTAACGATTTCAGCTCGCAGTTTATTAATGTCTAACCTATTCACATTTCCTCCATTAATGATTTTCACTCTTTTTTTGGTGGTTTGATAAAATTTACAGAACTTGCCCTGGAGAAATCATCTGATTCTGTGTAACGTTTCCAATTTTTGCTTTGATCAAGATTAATAGGATGTTTTGTAACGGCACACGTTAACCCATGTTTAATTGACCTGTATTGTTAATATAATTTGCGTCTATAACCAGTCTAAGTAAAAAATTGCATGCTGTACGTACCAGCCAAATATTTTAAATTCTATAAAGTAGTAAGGAGGTACTATTATGTTTGCATCATCTTTTGATAGGGTATTGGTTTATGTAGTGTGAAAGAATGTTTTGACTTTTTAATTAAGAATTGAGATTATATTGTCATTAAATACTCGAGTTTCCACTTCTTTTTGTGTTAGGTGACACAGCCAAGACGTGATGACTGCAGACACGGAAAAGGAGCAAGGTGCTGCTCCAAAAAGCACTCACTGTTTGATATGTAACAGTAGAGTTGGTGTCTCAACTCGTAATAGTCTTGAGATATTCCATAAAACTATAGTAACAACATCAGAAAGACCATTATCATATACCATTGGAGCGGTGTTGGGTCAGGAAATGAGTGAGGATTCTGTTCACAGTAATGTAATCTGTAAGAAGTGCTTCAAGTTGATTAATGAGGTTGATGAAATAGAAACTCGATTAGCAGAACTGAAATTTGAACTTACAACAAACTATCAGCGAACACTGAAAATTCAGAGTGATGGTGGAAAACAGTCACCAACACTGGATGATGACCGCAAGTTGCCTCTCGGTTCTGATGATGGAAATGTTAGGAAGAATAACCTACAAGGATCTCGGAAGAAACTTATATCAAAGAAAGTTAAGCCATCCCCCTCACACAACAGTGAAGAGGACTATGAACAAAAGGTGTGCACCTGGAAGTACAGGGATGCTAGATTTGTTTCCTCTACTGTCACTATATTTAAAAGCATCTGTTTTGATAACTTATGATATTTATGTTTGTTCTTCATGCATCTGTCTATCCAAATCCTAGCTTGCTATTAGAATGCAGTGTTTATTCCCATCATCTTTTTCTTTTATGTGCATTATATGTGATATGTGGTTCAGCTAGAAAATAGTGGAAATTTTACAGGAAATTTCTGAGGTTTGCAATATTTATAACTGGCATCCGTAAACTTATCAATAAAGTTAGATCTACTGGATTAGTTTTGGACAAGAAACCCAATAATAAATGTGTTCTTACTGAAGAGAAAGTGGGCAAAGTAGAGGCTAGGCTAGAATATTTGTCATGACACTCATTGACAGATATATAGTCTTGCATGAAACTTGACTTCTGATTCAGTATAATAAAAAAATTGTAAATTTGATTACTTTTGCACATGTCATGAACTGTTGTGTTTTAAATGTGAAAGTGATATGCTGTGTCAAGTTTGATCAAGTCACTATCTTGTGATATGCAAGGATATACAAAATTATGAGAATAGTTTTCTTCTTCCTAAGAGTTTTCTGCTATATGTGGGTCATTTTTGCCTTTAACAATGCCCCATACAATTTTAACAGAGTAAAGGGAAGGATTTTTGTCTGTAGTTTGGTATTTACCCATACTATGATATGTGCATCTCATTTCATTAGATCACTGGCTTGGTTTCTTATATCTGAGAAATCTACATTCATCTGAGGCTGAATTATTAATCCTTAAATGTACTTGATTTTGGAGGTATGTTTGCATGTTTGTTGACCATTCATAGAAAAAGGATATTTCATAGGATTTCTGAATACTGAAACATTTAATATATCCGCTGTTTTGTGTGTGTGTTTGTGCCAACAAAAATAGTAACAGACAAGAATTAGTACATATGATTCAATCTAATTGTAAAACCTGAAAGTAAGTACAAGATAAACATCTCTTAAATGGTAAGTCAGGCAGAAACATAAAAGAACCAGTGCTTATTTCCATAATTTCCAACATTTGATGTATGGTTCCCAGAATTAAAACTATGTACATGACGTACTATCTACTATAAAAATTTGTGATTCCCCATTGTCGTCAAAAAATGATGTCATCAACAATGCCACCTTATATTTGTTTACTCGGCATTGTTGTGGAACACAACAATGCTGAGTAAACAAATAATGCTTCACAACAAAGAAATCAAAAACTATCAAGCCAGTTGCATTATCACTGCTCCAGAAGCAGCACATCGCCTCCGAACAGCGACATAAGACTATTTAAGAAATAAAGAAAAGTGAAAAAGACGTTGCTAACACCGACAAGGTAATCTGATACTAATAATAATATTCATCCAATAAGAAACTAAACTAGTTTAGTGTCTTACTCAAGATTTTAAAACGCAACCAACCCCCCCGAAGGAGGGGTTGGTTACGTATTAAACAAATGACCAACCCCTCGAAGAGGTGTTGGTCAGTTGTTTTAACCACCATTCGGGGGGCTTAGTTTAGTTTCTTACTCAAGGGTTAAAACACTTGAATGAGACACTAAACTAACCCTTCCGAAGGGGTTGCGTTTTAAAAACTTGACCACCGAATGGGAGTTAATTTTGCGTGTTACTTAAGATTTCAAAATGCAACCAACCCCCTAGAAGGGGGGTTGGTCAATTGTTTTAACCCTCAATTTGGGGGGTTTAGTTTAGGTTCTTACACAAGATTGGTTGCGTTTTACAAACTCCGAAAGGAGCGCCCTGCACTAGTATCATCAAAATGGAGCAGGTTTATTTTCACATATATTTTGTCAGTGTGTGCCAAAAAGTATTAAGCATGCTGAACCAAAAGGTAGTGTCATATTTAACATCTGGTTTACAAATGCAACTATGTTTATTTCAGGAAAATACTCTTTGTGAAGTGGAATTATCAGAACATGACAGTGACAGTGACATGAACGCAGATGTTATTGTAACTGCAGAAGTTGGTACAGAAGATGATCCTGATGGTGAAGTGAAAATAAAAATTGAACCTGATGATGACATGGATAGAGAAAGTGTTGCTAAAAGAAAGATGTTTAAAAGGAAACCACAAAGGCTGGAATTACAAGAATCAGAGATTCCAGATAAGGTAGTAGAGAAAGAAGGTGTAGACTTTGTATGTTTGCTTTGTAATGGTGATGAAAAGATATTGGGAGACATGAAAGGAATTGTGAACCATCTGAAAAGCCACCATAATATCCGTATATACATATGTGATATATGTGGACAAGACTTTAGAAAGCGCAATGAACTATCTGTTCATCTGGATGACCACGTAGCAACTGAAGAAGGTGACTTCCAGTGTGAGGTTTGCAACCGAATCTTCAGTAACTTGCGTCTGTTCCGAGTGCACAAACGCATGCACTATCCACAAACAAAACTGTGGACTTGTGAGACATGCGGAAAGCGTTACAGCTCTAGAAATCTTCTTGATGAACATATCAACACCCACACAGGGGTTAGACCTTATGTTTGTGAGGCGTGTGGCAAGGATTTTGCATCAAAATATACATACAAAGCACATACCAAAACTCATGAAGTGCGTCCTCGACCCTTCTCGTGTGGCGAGTGCAGGAAGACATTCCTGAGTGCTCAGAACCTATCACAGCATGAGCGTACACATACTGGCATGCGAAACTATGTTTGTGACCAGTGTGGTAAGGCATTTGGCACAGCACGCAACTTGGAAGTACATAGCGTGGTGCACTCTGGATATAAACCATTCATTTGTCGTACTTGTGGGAAAGCTTTTGCACGTAAGGCAGAGATTCGTGATCATGAACGCACTCATACAGGTGAGAAACCCTACCAGTGTGAGTTCTGCGGTGCAACTTTCAGCCAGCGCAGCAACTTGCAGTCTCATAAACGAGCCACACATTACCAGGATAAACGCTATAAGTGTGAAGATTGTGGTAAGGGCTTCAAGCGTCGCCGCCTTTTGGATTATCATGTCAAGGCTGCTCATACGGGTGAACGTCCATATAAGTGTTCTGCATGTGATGCCACGTTTGTGTACCCAGAACACTTCAAGAAACATCGTCGCATTCATACAGGTAAACTTTTGTCACTGACTATGAGTTATGGAGCGTACAGTTTACTGTATTTATTTACTTTCCCTCCTTTTCAGTCATATTTTAGTTCTTGCAACAGGTATAAAAGAAGAAATGCAAAAAAATTTAATACATAAAGAAAATATTAAGACTAATATATTTTTATGGAAATTAACATTTATTACCATATTCTGTAAAATATTTGAAACTGTACAGTGTCATTCAGTGATGAACATTAGGATAGGAAGACCTTAACTTGAAATCTGAAGTTAACTTTTTTATATTAGTCTCATAAAATATGCATAAAACAAAAGAGATATTTCAGAAAACAGACTTCACTTCTGTGGAATAAGTGTATGCATGTGGTTTATACAATGGCCCATTTTTCAGAAATGTCTTAGATATATTATTTTATAATAATGAGTACCATACTTTGATATACATTTGTTTCCACAGATCTAGTCTGCATCATAGCAATTAGTGTGTGTGTATTGTAAAGATAGTACTGTTGCATGATGTGGCAGTTGTGTTGTCTATATGTAACATAACAACAGAAGCATGAAATAATATAAATGTGTTTTTATTATGTTAAAACAGGTGAGAAACCATTTCGCTGTGAAGTATGTGGCAAGGCATTCAACAGCCGTGACAATCGCAATGCACATCGGTTTGTGCACAGTGACAAAAAGCCATATGAATGCCTTGTTTGTGGTATGGGGTTCATGCGGAAACCTCTACTGTATAATCATATGCAGTCACAAGGTCACCTGAATGATACCATTGTGGTAAATCAACCACGACTTGCTTCAGATGAGGACCTGGCAGCTGAGGCAGCAGCAGCAGCAGAAGCAGAGGCAGAAGCTGCGGAAGTAGAGATGACAATTGTGGGAGATGATTCGGGTCACCACCAAGAACAGGAGACCAAGTTGTACATCGCTGAACTAAAAGAGCATGTAATCA